TGTTTGGAATTAGAAAGAGGAAAAGGGGGTACAAAAATTAGAGGCTCTGGTAAACTTTACCCATTTAAAAGACATCATTATTTTGCCTAGGATTAAAGTTAATTAGAATAATTTGCTCTTGTCATGTGCCTTAACCTTTCTTTCTCCAAACACTTATTTCACAGTTATGTTTGTCAAGTTGTTAAGGGTAATGATCCTATTTTGTCATCAAGGAGGGGGGAAAAAAGAACCAAGTCCGAAATGAAACAGATGTTCTAAAAACTGCGGGAAGTTGGCTTTGTCAGATCACTGAATACATGATTTTTGACTTAGTATCCATACGATTGAAATAGAAAAAAGGCAGAGACTCCCGACTGTGGGTCTCTTTGTGGCTGCTTCTTCCAGTATATCTAAAGTCACTGATGCTGAGCGGATAAATGAGAGTCAAGTTAATTAATGAAAATGGTTGACGTGATCAGTTCAAGCACATAGTTTGGTAGATTCACTACATAAATCTATGTAAACAGAGGCTGACGCAGGTTGCTGCTGTAGCCACTAAGCACTGGTTTTTTTAATCTGAATACAGGCATATCTGAATATTTGTGGTGGTGGGTGGGGTGGGTAGATGCATCTTGGTTAACAATTTCTGCATATCAAATCAAATGGAACATTTTTAAAAGTTCATTTTAAAAAACAGTAAAATGCATAGCGCTAAACATTTAGGAAAAATAATTTACTAGCTCAGAAATGTTCATGCTATATAAATACAGTAATGTTGACAAAGTAAGGTACCAAATTAAAAACCCAAACTTGAACAGTTATTGCAAGAGGCAAGACTGTGAGCAAGAACAGGCAGGAGCCAAGAGCTTCCGTTAGAGGTATTTACCTGTGCTTTAGCATCTTGTCAGAGGCCTCCCACAGAAAGGCTGGCCCAGGGCAAGGCAATTTCAGCCTCTCTGCTGTCAATCTTCCTTCATATCCCTTTCCTTTCTCATGTTTCTCTTCCCTTCCCTGATACTCTACTGGTGGCCAAGGAAATAAGAGGCAAACCTTAGAATCCTTCTTAGACCATGGCTCCTTTGGTCTTTAATTGTAAAGACAAATATGAATTAGTTGCCCAGTGTTTCTAAAGTGTGCTGCCTGTACTATATAGAAAGCTTTTAATTTTACCACCTTCCTACCTGGAGTCATCCTTCTCAACCCAACTCTCTTAGAAAAGTTCTTTGAGTACAGGAAATAGAGAGATCCACAGATGTCCTCTGAAATGTTTTCATTTTTTTACATGCTAATCTGATATTTTATCTTTTTGTTATTTAAAACATTATGTTTAATGATCATATTATAATGAAATGTTTGGGACTTTTTTGTTGTTGACAGCCTTTGAGTTTACAGAAGTCATCAAGATATGAAATACAATGAGAAAAAGAGAAAAGAGAGATTAATAGTGAAACAGTCATATGCGTGAATGAATGAGGGTAAACTAACAGAAAAGCAGAAAGACAAGTTCATAATTGTACACACTGAAAGTTAACTTTGAGTAAACCTATGTACAGAATTAAAAAAATTTTTACATTTAACTTAATAAAATTTTATATATTTATTGACTTCCCTCACCACTTCTGTCACTTGACCTATGTATAGAATTTTTAAAAATTCTATAACAATTATATATTTCAGAATACAATTTTAATGTATTACTATTAATTTTCAAAGATCTGTATATCTACATTTAAGAGGTCTCTGTAGAACATTCTTTTTGCTTCATTGCACACCTCCCAGTGTTTACACATGTACATTGAGTCTTGAATGATGTCTCATTAACTATTGATGGGTCCTGGTATTCTAGGGCTCCCCATTTTTAGCTCTGTGTATTCTTTACTAAATCAATGCAACTTTTGTAATAATAACAAAGACAAGCATTTGCACTCTTATTTAAAACACTGTGACTTGAAAATGTGTAGGCTGGGCATGGAGGCTCATGCCTGTAATTCCAGCTGTTTGGGAGGCCGAGGCGGGTGGATCACTTAAGGTGAGGAGTTCAAGACCAGTCTGGCCAACATGGTGAAACTATGTCTGTACAAAATAATACAAAAATTAGCTGGGCATGGTGGCAGGTGCCTGTAATCCTAGTACCAGGGAGGCTGAGGCAGGAGAATCACTAGAACCTGGGAAGCGGAGGGTGCAGTGACCCTAGATGGCGCCAGTGTGCTCCAGCCTGGGTGACAGGGCGAGACTCGATCACAAAAAAAAAAAAGAAAAAGAAAAAGAAAAAGAAAAAAAAAAACAAATCAGAAGGGTTATGTTGAAAATTAAGCTTCAGTTCCTAAGTTTCTATTAAATAGTTACACATTAAAATATACTAATACATAATAAGCACGTAATATTAAAAGCACAAAAATAGTTATATTTAAGAAGTCAATGTAACTATTGGCTATATAAGCCCCAAATGGAGTAAGTATACTTTAGATTTTAGTCACCACAGTTCCAAACTTTAAAGTTTAATTAAAAAAAATGCATACATCTATAAACACACACACACTCACACAAATTAAATATACATTAGAATGATGCAGAAAAACAATGTGATTGAAATGTCTATGAAATTTATTCATCTCAGAATTGAAACTTATCATCATTTAGTCTAAATAAACAGATGGGAACACAGACTCCTCAATTTTAGGATTTAGTTCACACAAAATCAGAATCATTGTGCTGACTGTGGTGAGTCAGGGATGAGGAAGATCTCAGCAACCTCTTGGATTCAGTGTCTATACTGGATCAAGTCAACATTTGCTTTGGAGAAATGAAGTTATTTGAACAAAACAAGTAAGAGATAAACATTTTTTTTTTCTTTGTCTCTCTCTCTCTCTCTCTTCTTTTTTGAGAAGGGGTCTCATTCTGTTGTCCAGGCTGGAGTGCAGTGGTGTTATCTCAGCTCACTGCAAACTTCACAAGAAATTCTCCTGCCTCAGCTTCCCCAGTAGCTGGGATAACAGGTGTCCGCCACCAGGCCCAGCTAATTTTTGTATTTTTAGTAGAGATAGGGTTTCACTATGTTGGCCAGGCTGGTCTTGAACTCCTGACTTAATGATCTATGATCTGCCCGCGTTGGCCTCCCAAAGTGCTACAATTACAGGTGTGCAAACAATGTTTTTATAAGTGCTCAAGTAGAATCATAGTACTGGTAATAGATTTACAGGCACTCTAGAAAAGGATGCTTTTGGAGCTGAAAGTTCTAAACTTTGCCTTGTTACCATTTATCATATAACTAAAAAAGTCATTAACCTCTGATCCTTAATATCTTCATTTGTACAATCAGAATAATGACACTTGCTGTATTTATATTTCCTCATGCTTATAAACTTAAAATTACTACACTAGTACTATTACTATTAGCACTCTAATTACTAATTCCTTCTGTTATTATCATTAATAATACCAATGCTACCAGTAATTGAAGCTTTCTATGTGCCAAAGCTTTGTGAATTACTTTTCATACCTTGTATCTATATCAAAACCTTCTCAATAGTCCTGTCAGGTAACTGCTGATTTTCTTCTTACAGACATCTCAGAGTGATTAAATAACTTGCTAGACGTCACACAGCTATTAAGAGCTTGCATGGAAATTTGTTCATTTTAGATCCATTTTATCTTGTTTTCTCTATGTATATTCATACACAATGTCAACACATAATACATATTATCTCTATAACATAGATATATTATTCATTTTATATACACAGAAACATATACTTATGCTGTGAATTCTGAAATGCCATACCAAGGCTCTCGTTTTTTATTTTTACTTTATTTTATTTTTTTTTAATTTCAAAGCCTAATGCATAAAACAAAGTAGGTATTTAGTCAACATTTGGGAAAAATAATATAAGAGAGGTAACTAAGATAATTTTGATTGAACTGTTCATTAACAAGTGTGTCAGCAGTAACAGTGGCTAAACCCTCCTCATCTTCAAGATTATGTTATTAAAAATTACTCTAGAAGGCACATATTGCATGACACTACTTACATATAGAAGATTTTTTACAAAGTTAAATTCATAGCAACAGAGAGGAATGGTGGTTGCCAGAGGCTGGGGTGTCAGAGAAAAGAGGAGATACCGGTCAAAGGGTACAAACTTGCAGCTTTAAGAATAAATTCTGAGGACTCGTATACAGCATGGTGACTATAGTTAATAATACTGTACTATATACTTGAAATTAGAAATTTGCTAAGAGTGTAGAACTTATGCATTCTCACACACACGAAAAAGGTAACTGTGAGATGATAAATCTATTAATTAACTTAATTGTGCTAAACATTTCACTATGTATATGTATATTAGATCAGCACATATACTTTAAATATATAAAGTTTAATTTGTCAGTTATACCTCAATAAAGCTGGAAAAACTTATTCTATGAAACAAACATACCCGGATTTTTTTTCAATTGTTTGGGTTCAATTCTAGATACAAAGTTGACAATGATAGAGATTATTTTCAATAAACGAGTGCTGACATCTAACCCTATGGCCCAGGTAAAAGGAGGGAGAAAAGATTCATTTAAAAATCACATATGATACCTACTTTTCAAAGGATGAACACATTATCTTTCAAATTTAAATCTAAAAAGCTATTCTATAATTTCCTGTCAAAACAAGATAACAATACTTGCCATATTTCCCTTGACTATATAATAATAATGATGATGATAATCAAATAGTGACATTCAAAAAGAATAAATTTTTTTTTTTTTGCAGAGTTAAGGAGAAGGGCAAGGGACGTATTAGAAAAGATGCATAGAGGTCTTATATCTCATCAAAGCATGAATTTCCAACTCTTGCAAACACTCCATTCTCTGCCCTAATCTCCCAAAGAGCATCCAGCTGAATGAAAAGCTTCTGACATTTGTGCCAGTTCACAGCTAGAATGACATGGCTGGGGGACAGGAGACGCTGCAGTTTCCATTATCCATTGAACACCTTGGCAATTCTTATTTCATCCTGTGAATGTGATACTTACTCTTGTACTGCTCTGGCTATGGAAAGGGCCGTAGATCCAGTTTCATTAACGCTATCTAAGGTCACATTTGGCAGGTCATCATCATCACTGTCACTTTTACTTTGTCTGGGAGATAGGCCTCGGGGGTCCATTTGTGCTGGGGAAAAAAGGCATATATAATGAATTAAAATCAGTGCGCAGAAAGTTAACCTTGTCCTGGACCAACATCAAGCATGGAACTTCTCTTCTGTGCGTATCACGCAAATGGAATTCTCTAGACATCACAGGAATTAGTGACAGCTCCACGTTTTATGTTCTGAGTACTTAGTGATTCTTTTCAACTTCAATGGATTTACAATACCTATACCAGCTCTCAAGAGTTTCAGGGTATGACTATAGAGTAGAAACTATAAAATTCATAATATTACCAACTCCTGAGTGGTCAAAAGCTGGTTACGTAGCTCCTGAGCTACCGTTCAACCCTCTGGTTTCTCCTCCTCCTTGCTTCTGCTGCCAGAGCTCTGGCCATTTCACTGATCATTAGCACTCTCCCTGGAAGGTAGAGAGCATGCGGTAAGGAGATATTAGTTGCTTACAGCTCTCCTAATAAGTTAAAAGAAGAACAGGGTTTGCATGACTAAAAGAAAGGATAGGTATTTTTCTTACTTCAGTGAATCACTGTCTCCAAGTTCTTTACTACTATAAGGTGGGATCTGAAGGCGTAAAAATGACAGAAGTGGTAGCATTTTAGATATCATGTTTCTCAGTGCTAGATAGTGCTCTTCAACTCCATCCTGATTTTATTTTTCAAAAAGGCATGTCCAGATATGATTCTCCTCCCACCGTGAATCTGCCAAAGCAAGAAACGGCACAATCTTCTGACCTCTGTTGACCAAGACTATCAGATCCTTTCAAATGAGAGGATCACTGTTAACATATGTTAACACGTATTTTTAAAAATTAGATTTCATTTCCATCTCCTTTTCCCTATGAACAGACTGAGCAACCGCTGCCCAGAATTTCTATCAGCCTTCACCTCAAGCACCAACTATACATACCTTTTCAATTAAAAGAAACGCATGAGCTACATATACAACCACACTGTTAAATCGTATGGCTGCCTAAGATTTCTAAAACCAGCACTGCTTGCCAGGGAAAGCAAAATGCAGGTGAAATCATGGTCACATTTGGGTACATTTTATAATTTCATTTTTCTTGTCTTAAATCACTCTTTTTGTCTACTGTGTATCATACATTATACAGAACCACATGGAATTGCTGAGAATGCACCATTTTTACCCATGAAATGGCAACTTCTGATGATTGTGTTTGATAGTTACAATCTAGCTAGAAAAACTATACCTAGACAGTTTCAACATATTTCAACATATTGCTAACTACACATGGTTAGGAAAGAGCTTATATCTAGCGAACCTAGTGTGCACCAGTGTATTTGACATACATCCTGCCTATAAATATAAATATATCAAAGTGTGCTTCGCACAATGGAAGTGTTTGGTAAATATTAAATTTCAAAGAAAATAATTCAAATAATCCAAAGCAGTTGCCCTCAACCAAAAGCAAATTTGCTTCCCAAGAGACACCTGCCAATATCCAGAGACATTATTGTTTGTCACAACTTGGGGGGGTAGGGAGGGTGCCCCTGGCATCTAGTGGGCAGAGGCTAAGAATATTGCTAGACATTCCACCATGCACAGGACAGTCGGCCCCTCACAGCAAAGAGTGAACCAGTCCAAAATGGCAGCAGTACCCAGGCTGACGAACTCATCTAGGGATTTAAGTATTTGGACATATAAAAGGTGTCACGCTTTATGACTTTCAACTCCTACGTAACTATGCTCTCACTTCAACACTGCTAACAAGGAAATTGTCACACCTCAGATTACCCATATTTTCGGGCCTTGCCTTAAAAATAAGTTCACTGTCACGTGACCCTGTACCTCCTCCAATGTCAGGAATTAGGCAGTAATATTTATTAAGAGATTTTGAATATTTTCTTTGAACCACGAGCTATGGGACAAAAAGATTATTTTCCATCTGCTCTCTGGAAGAGATCCACTAGAAGAGGGATATTAGAGAAACTGTGGGGCAAAGCAGCCAGTTCCATCACCATCTGATAACAGAGAGCTTGACTACTCAGTCACTCCAAGGGCACTTGAAGGAACCATATCAATTAAGATTAATTTTGGCTGTAGGCAACAGAAATTGGCACAGGCTAACATATAAGGGAATGTACTGGAAAGATAATGAGCAGCGCACAGAATGGAAGGTCAAAATGAACAACCAACACTAAAGGAATGTAGGATCCAGGAATGACACAGTCATTTCAGCTAGGAATTCACAGATAGTTTCTTTTTGGGCAATCTTGTTCTAGAATAATTCATTTAACAGCCTTTTGCAACTATTCAAAGCCAGCCAAAAAAAAAAAAATGAATATCAGATCTATCTAAGCTTCCAAATCACATATTGTGTAGTGTTTCATACACCTGTAAATGTCAACAATTTAACATTTTAAGTTGTTGAAACATCATGCGCTATGATGCCTTTGCCAAGATATAAAATTTGCAAATAGCCAAGAAAAAGGAAAATATTCTGATAGTCCCATTTTGTCCAAGACAACTAGAGCTCTTATTGTACGTAACACAACTCAAGGAAGATAGAGGCAGTTAACCATGAGCAATCTGGCTCTGAAAGTTAAAGTCTGATTGTATGAAAGATTCCAAAACCTTGTGTGAGAGTTGTTACATGATCATCTAATTATGTTATGTTTATATCTTAATGAAAGTTTAAAATATGTTAAATATGATATCTTTTTGATGTACTTTTCAGGAGTATAATTGAGGATTTCTTTGCAATATTTTCAATAAATATTATGAAATACATCTGCTACCATCATGCTGCAAAACTCTTTTTACCCATACCTTCAGCCAAGCTGAGGAAGTAATTAGAAAGGCTTTTCAAAATCTGCATTGCTGATTAGGTCAGATGATTAGCTTATCTACATACTTGCATAATTCCACTCTATTTTTATTAAATGTAGAATAGGGACATCAACCCTAGTTAACCTCCATCAGTCTTTGAGCATCTCAGCCCATTTAGGAAGGACTGATTCTCTGTGGTGCCCATTTAGAGACAAAAGGAAGTTACCTGGACACCAGAAACAAAAAAATGTCAACTTCTGCAAGTAGGAGAACAGGAGATGATCTATAAACACCTCAAAAGAATTTACACTTTAGATTTTACTGCTTTCTAATGAAAAAGGAATCAGACAGTTTTGGGTATCCCAGCTCACTGCTGGTAGAGGTGTCATTCCTTGGAGTTGGAGGTGTTCTGGAATCCTATGTGAGTTTCATTCCATGTGTCAAAATCCTGGGGAGAAAATATCAGAATCCCAACACCTGAAGTTGAACTGATTTACTTTGATTCAAATATTCACCTACGGTAGATTGTTACTATAAAGATCCCTCCAGGAAACCATGTCTGCCTGTATCCACGCTCTTATGTGGCCACATCTCAACAATGACTCTGGGCTTGGCTTTAAGACTTGATGTGACCAATGGGACATTAGCAAATGTGACACAAGCAGAGGCTTGAAAAGTACTTGCACCTTGGGTTTCCCCATTCCTCTTGCTGTTTTTAGAACCCAGTCACCCCGTGAAGAAGCCCAGGTGAGCCTGTAAGAGGCACGCTGCTCACTGGCAGCCAATCCCACTGCAAGCCATGTTAAGTGAGCCATTTTAGACTCACCAGCTACATTACAGCCGCCAGATAACTGCAGGCCTGAGTGACCCCAGGTGAGACCTGCTTGAAAACCTCTTGGCTAAACCCATGCCACATTTCTGACTCACAGAATTTTGAGCAAATAAAACATCTGCTATTTTAGGCTGGGTGCAGTGGCTTACACCACTGTAATCCCAGCACCTTAGGAGGCTGAGGCAGGAGGACTGCTTGAGCCCAGGAGTTTGAGACCAGCCCAGACAACATAGTGAGACACTGTCTCTACAAGAAATTTTAAAAAATTGCAAAATGTGGTGATGCACACCTGTACTCCCAGCTGCTTGGGAGGCTGAGGTGGGAGGATCACTTGAGCCCAGGAAGTTGAGGCTGCAGTGAGCTATGACTGCACCACTGCACTCCAGGCCTGGGCAACAAAGTGAGACCCTGTCTCAAAACAACAACAACAACAACAAAAAAAAAAAAAAAAAAAAAGAAAAAGAAAAAGACAAGACTATTTTATTCTACTACAATTTAGGGTGACTTGTAGGGCAGCAATATAAAGTCAGTGCACCAGGTTCCTCACCCAGCTCCTTCTAGAGATCTCTTAGCAATGATATGGATGAACTACAAGTACAGTTACAGTCTTAACAATATTGAACTGAATTAAGTTTGGCCTAAAGCTGCGTCTATCCACGTTTTAGGTTTGGCCTAAAGCTTCTTCTGTACCTGGTGAGCTGTAACCTAACTTGATGTGTAAACAGATGCAACAAGCAGCCGAGTTTCGGTCAATCAAAGGTGGCCAACTGCTGAACCCAGATTCAATTAAGGCACATTCTGGGTTCTAACCAATGGAGCTGTCTCTGTACCTCACTTCCACTTTCTGTACGTCACCTCGTTTTCTCTGGCTATAAATACAATCTGCACAATGCAGTAGGGTGAAGCATCCTGAACATTTTTGGTCCAGACTGTTGTGTGATTCTGGAATCAAATTAAAGCCAATTAAGATCTGCAAAATTAGATTTGTTTTCTTTCAACAATATTATTCTTTATTCTCTTCCCAAGAGCCAACCTTGTTTTAGTGACATAAAAGCTGCCTACTGCATTCTACGTCATTTACTTTTCAATGCAAAATATTCAAATGTATTTATGGGCATTTTGGCTTTTGAGGTGTCTTCTTTGACCCTTCAGTACTGCGCAGCTAAGGTTCTTCTTGGGTCCTGCGGGGCCATCTAGTTATGATGAACAATACTTATTTATGTATTTATTTATTTATATTTTTAATTTTTTTTTCAGATGGAGTCTCACTCTGTCACCAAGGCTGGAGTGCAGTGGCGCAATCTCGGCTCGCAGCAACCTCTGATTCCCAGGTTCAAGCGATTCTCCTGCCTCAGCCTTCCAAGTAGCTGGGATTATAGACAT